CGCTCCCGCGCCGCCGGGGACCCGCGGCGCACACCCGCAGCCCGGTGCGGCGCCGCCCACACTGCGCCCCGGGTCGCGGCCGTCGCCCGGCGGGGAGCGCGCTCACTGCCCGGCATCCCGGGAAAGCGGGTTTACAAATTCGTGATTTCCTCCGGGGGCTTGTGAGTGGTTGACGGTTTTACATTTACATAATAGACATTGCAAATTCATTATAGAAGCGACCCTGACGTGTTGGCGACTTTACACTTACATATAACAGACATTGCATATTTATTATAGCTGTACCCTGACGCGTCGGACCATTTTACATTTATCTATAACAGCCATTGCATATTTGTTATTGATCCTACCGTAACGTATTGAAAGATTTTTACCTTTATATATAATATCAGACATTGCATATTTATTATACATGCGCGTATGCAGTCCTCATTGGCAGGGTAGTTCTGGATGGTGTAAAACTATCTCAGTAATCACAGATAAATTAAGATTGTTCCATGACCTTTAAGATGTTGTCAATATTTTCAAAACTCTTAACTGACGCTTACACACATACGGGGAAAAGAAAAACATAACAAGAGCTAATGTGTTGATACGCTGCAATTTAAAGCATTACAGACGTTGAGAATGAAAATGTGTTTCTCTGTTAAAAAGTAACTATCAAGAGTAACCGGAACAGTGCTGTTTTCGTGTAACTGTTACGCACCTGGCCAGCACTTTCTGAGTGTTGGCAAAGCAGCACATTTAGATGACTCTGGGCATTGTATCCTTTGCGCTGCTTCTGATGGACAAACTCTCGGAGAGGGTCTGTAATGTCATTTGTAAGGGTGACCTCATTTCCTCCGCTAAGTCGCCATCTTTCTTGTCACCACCGTGTTCCTCACCTCAGTTCGGGTCACTAAGTTCTCCGGGCTTCCCTGTCTAGAGCCACAGCAAAGGCAGCATTCTCACAGTTGCCTAGTTCTGTACTTCTGTTATGGCTTGGATCTCAAACGTCCCGCAAGTTCTCCTGTGTGTGAAAAGCGATTGGATTGGATCGTGGGGCACCGTGCTCCTCAGGGGCTCAATCCACTCATGGATCCGCAGCAGGACTGCTGTTGCAGGCAGGCTCTGTCTCCCTCCCAGGCTCCTCCTTCCCTCTCCGCTTCCTGGCTGCCGCAGATGGAGCCCCTTTGCTCTGCAGTGCCCTTCCACCACGCCGTGTCTACCTTGGAGCCCGCTGATTGTGATCTGTACCCTGAGCCCAGTAGGCCTCTCCTCCTTCAAGCTGTGGGTGTCAGGTATTGTGTCCCAAGACAAATTAATTGATATTCCATTCTACTTTCACTTCACTTCCATCCTGATCATTTTTTGCCTTTGGTGCACTTTTATCTTTGTTAACCAATTTCCACTTCCCGTTATTCATTTTTATACAGTGCTGAGTGGATTTATCACTGAGAGAAAAGAAAGTGATGCAACTGTACACTTTGCTGTCGGTGCCTAAACTGAATAACCAATGCCAAGTCACTAGTCATGTGGGTATCTGTGATTTACCTAGCAGAGTTAGTGCTGTGTACATGTACTAGTACGTGCAGTTGTGCACAGCTAATACATATTTTGTGGTCCCTGAAATTTGAACTGTCTTACTGTGGACAAAAATATAAACAAAATATTAAGAAAAATGTAACAGCTGATATCAGGCATATCTGAACCTGTGCATCAAGGACTGCCTCGTGTGTGTGTGTGTTTGTGTGTGTGTGTATCTGTGTGTGACACGTATAATGACTATATGAAAACTACCAGTGATCACCAGGCAGAATTATCAAATGGTAACCCTCTCCCCTCACAGTGCATCCAATCAGGACCTCTATCTAAACAGTTAATTTTCAAATTAATTAGCACATAAGATTAGAACAAAACAATCTCCCTCTGGTTTGGGCTCTCAACATGATTTCACAGTCACTTAGGTGAGAAAGCAGCTCTAAACCTATTCTGCTTTCACTTACAGGGAGGTTTTAGCTCTCACACACAATGAGGAATTGGGAGATCTTTGACGCTTAAATGTCTGCCCACACACTGTACAGGACCTCAAAGCAGTACTTAGGAGAAAGATCAGGGTCTGGCATTTTGTAGTCCCCATTTCTTACGTATGCTTGGCCTTTTGCATCACCTTATCATACTGTTGGTAAGATATTTAGGTGAAGGATTTTCAAGACTGGAGGCTGAGGAACCCATTCAGGATAATGAGATAAAAAAGTTAATCTGAATTACTTCCAGAGTGGTGGAAAATCCATTTCTCCAAAAAAAGGAGAACATTGGCAAAGAAAAATGGTCAAAACCAGCCTTATCAGAACTCCACAAATTAGCCCGACCCTTGTATCTTAGCCACTTCCTTGTCACTGAGACACAATACCCAACAGCCACAACTTACAGGGGACAGGTTTGTTTAGGCTGATGTTTTCAAGGCATGGTTGGCTGACTCCAAGGCAGAAGCTACATGCCAGAGGGGCATGGTGGAGGAGAGGGCTGCTCATGTCAGGGCAGCCAGGAAGCAGAGAGGGAAGACACCCTTCCAGGTCATGCCCCTCAGAGATCCACCTCCAACCAGGTCCGGCTCCTAACAGGAAGTCAGCCATAGAGCCCTGAGGTGCAGTCACCTTCTACACACATGAGAATTTGGGGGGATATTTTGGATCTAAACCATAACAGCTTGCAACCGTCTGAAGAGTTACTGAATTTCAAAGCAAAGTGCTGAATCTTGGTGAGAATGGTGAACTTTGTGGCATTTTGGCTTGACCAGTCTCCCTCCGCTCCTCCCAGTTCTTCAGTAGCCCTGTAACCGAACAGTCCCAAAACTACAGTGGATTTGAAAACCAGCACACTGGCCACCACTGAAGGGAAAAGAATGGGTTTAGATGACCTCAAAAGCTTCATCCCCAGAAAATTCATTTGACGTGTGTGGCAGCACCCTGAAAAGTTCCATTCTCGGAGTTTGTCTTTATTTGACCTGGCTCAGAACTCATTCTGTGAAAGCAGCCCTAACTCTAGGGCATTTGTTGAAGGCAATCAGTTGCAGTTGTTTCCCATCATGTCTCCCTGAGGTGGTGAAACCAGTTGGGATCATCGAGAAGGTAATGAAAAGATGAGGAAAAGTGGAAGATGTGAGTTCAGTTACTTGAAAATCTCTGACATATTCCTTGGAATCCAGAATGCTGTGCACACATGCAGGACTGTGCACATGTTTAGGAAACACATAAATTCTGCCTTTTTCATAATTACATGTAATTAAGTGTAAATATATTAAGCACTCCAATCAAAGGATAAAATTAGAGCTGGACAAAGGGTGCACATCTGTAATCCCACAACGCTAGGAGGATCACAAGTCTCAGCCCAACCTGGGCAAGTCAGCAACTTAGTGAGACCCTATCTCACAGTTAGAAAATAAGAAGGACTGGGGATGTAGCTGAGTACAAAATCCCTGTGTTCAATCCTTACTGTGACAAAAATATACATAAATGAAAAAGACAGAGTTTGGTGAAATTGATTCAAAACTAGGATCCCACCATATGCTGTTCGTAAAAGACACATTAAAGATACAAATAAGTTAAAAGTAAAAAAATGGAAAAACATTTTCTGTGCAAAAAGTAATACTGGAATGGATCTACTGGTATCAGGCAGAATAGACTTTCAGAAAAAAGTTGTTACTAGATTGAAAGGTCATTTTATAATGACAAAAATCTCCATCTATTAAGAAAATATAATGATCAGAAGCATATATGCATGGGACAACTGAACCCAAGAATATATGAAGAAAAACTGAAAGAATTGAAGAGAGAAATAGTTCAACAGTGATCCACTTTCCACAATGGATAAAACAAAGGGAAAGGTTAACAAGACATGAACAACACTATGAACCCAATAGACCCAGCCTGTCTCGAACATTCCACCCAACAATGGCAGAGTACTTCAAATACACAAGGAACCTCCTTCAGGATACATCATACATTAGGTCATGAAACAAGTTCTCAATGACTTCATTTTATTTTATTTTATTTATTTTGGTACTGGGGATTGAACTCAGTGCTGGTGAGCTACATCTGCAGCCCTCTCAGTGACTTTAAATTGAAGTCATACAGAGTATGTTCTCCAACCACAACGGAATTAAATTAGAATTCAGTAACAGAAGGAAATTTGAGAAACTCACAAATATGTAGAAATTAAACAGAACAGTTATAAGTAACCAAGAGAATGAAAAAGAAATCAATAAAATTTTGAAAAAAATTAGTGAATAAAAACAAAAGCACTATATAAACCCTGGATGTAGCTATGATATCCAATAAATATTCGTTGAATTTAAATGCTTAAACAAAAATTTATAGTTGACACAATAATGAATAAAATGAAACATTCATAGCCTACAGGTCTTTTGCTTGTTCTTTCACCTTAAGTAATTAGAACACAGAATAAATTAAACCTGAAGCAAGGAAAGGAAAAAATATAATAAAAATTAAAATGAAGAGAAAAATAATAGAGGAGGCCAACAAAATAAAAAAATTGATTCTCAGAAGATATTAATAAAAATGACAAACTTTAGCTAGACTAACAGAGAAAGAGAGAAAGAGAATGACTCAAATTACGAATTTGGAGTGAAAGGGTACATCTCTAACAACTTTGTAGAAATAAAAATGATTGTAAGAGAGTATAATGAGTCGTTATATACCAACAGATAACCTCAATGAATTGGAAAAAGTGAGTTAA